TCTCTCTCTCTCTCTCTCTCTCTCTCTCTCTCTCTCTCTCTCTCTCTCTCTCTCTTTCTCGCGCTCGTGCGCAATTGAGTTTTGATCTTGGTTACCATATCTCTGAGTTCTGAGTGGGCGCATGTCGCGAGTTTGTTGTGCACCTGTTTGCATGCATGTAAAGTGTGGAAGAGAGCGAGTCTGATTGCACACACACACACACACACAGACACACACACACACACACACACACACACACACACACACACACACACACACACTGACACTCAATCAATCAATCAATCAAAAAAAAAAATTGTTTATTTGTTTTTTAATTTTGCATGTGCATTTTTTGTTAAACACCTCATTTCCCTGCAAAAAACAAAAATTCATAAAAAAAAAAAAAAACAGGTCGACTCGGGGACCATATATGTCATGATAAAAAATGACAAAAAAAAATTCCTGCTTTTCTTTATATTTTTTTAAAATTTTTGTTGAAATCGATTTCAGTTTTTGATTTTTAAAATTTTTTAAGCGAAGTCGGATTCCAAAACAAAAAATATGGGAGTGTAGGGTTTTCCAAGCCCTACACCCCCATATTTTTTTATTTTGTTTTTAGTACTTTTACGTATTTTTAGGGGGTGAAAAAAAATATTGAAAAACCAGGCCGCTGACTGAGCCTCATTGGCCGCGGCCGCGGCCGAGAAAGTCGGCCGCAGCGGCCGAAATGCCCGCGGGTGTCACATAGCCCTCACATCATCATCATTACCATTACAGAACTACCATCGGTATCCTACCCGGCGCTCTTCGCCCAGACTACAGATCGCAGATCTACCATAATAATAATAATAATACAGGGTAGATGAGTGATAACGAACTTCAAATCAATAGCATAATACACATGTGATCAGACACTCGTGACCTTGAACCAGTAGTAGAATAACATTACGAGTGTCGCCAGGTAAGAGCACAGTAAAAGCTCATAAGTGGCAATGTGGCATAGTCCCTTCATCATCAACATAGGACTAATGCCGATGTCGTATCCGGTGCTTCATTGCCCAGACTACGGATGACTGACCCTATCTAACCCCTACTATGGTGATGATGATGATGACAACTGCTCATCCGTGGAATGATCAGACAACGGTCAATGCCGTACGCTCCCAGCACCAGGTATGTTTTTCCCGTATCACTCACAACCTCGTTCTCCTTACTCACAGGTGCCACGTGTACCCATGACCACCCTACGTCCACCATTCCTTCTCTCTCTCTCTCTCTCTCTCTCTCTCTCTCTCTCTCTCTCTCTCTCTCTCTCTCTCTCTC